TGGTAACCACGGTGTCTGTATTATGGTCTCACTGCGCATTACAATTTATCCAATCGTATACCATAGTAAAGGCTAAGAACGCCGGTAAGGCCCAAACCACAATCACCCCCCAGTGCACACTAAAACCCGACACCAGTAACATATACACAACTGCGCACACAGACGCATATTCTAGTAACCTATTGAACTACAACTACAAAACATACCCTTTCGCGCACATACATGTGAGGAGAGCTCGGGGTCGTGGAACGTCAGTAAGTGTGTGTACACCGCCAAGGTTTCCTGCATGACGCTAGAGTTGTCTGGCAAGAAATAGTCGTGCAGATACTTCTCGACAAATGTATTTGCACAGGAGAAGGCAAGGGCCTCGTCATTGAAGTTGAGACGCAGCCAAGATGCGAAGATAGAGTCCATACCTTGCCAGTACACGAGCGTGGGGTTGGCGCTCAGGAAAGCTTTGAGCAGGCGTCTGGATGCAGCAGTACAGTACCGTATACAACAATAGTAATAAAAGCCAAATACGCAAGTACAGTGAGCTTTCGTCATGTGCATAGAGTTAAGTAAGTCGTCGTTGATGTGCAAAAGGAGTATGTGGCCTTGGACGATGACGGCGCTGGTGCTTTGAAAGGCTGGCCAACGCTTCTAGAGTCCGGATCGCAGTATATGACGACAAGCCAAACTTATAAACATGAAAACCAGTATTTTTAGTCTGGACATACAAATATATACGTGTAAGTAATACTTGCGTGGGTACGTGCTGGATCATTTCGATGGATATATCGACTGAGAAACTTTCATGTCCATGGATAGATCAACTGAGAAACTTTCAATGAGAAAAACCATGAAATATCTTCAGGAGCGCACTTCGCTTGCTAATGGCTGCATCTAAATGCCCACGCCAATCTGAGCACCACAACCAGGCCCATATAAATTACACACAAACATCAGAGAAGACAGCTGGCGTACCTCTAAAGCCTGAGTTATAGGCACTTTATGGATACCTTAAACTGAGACCACACCGAAATTGATGACCTCTGACCAGCGCATCTTTAGCCAAACCCTAAACCCAGCGCTCAGGCGTTGGATACAACCAGTTTTGATCATTGTCTGACATCTGTAGCACTAAAACTGAAACAGTATATATACTACAATGAAAGATACAAGTCACGCGAGCTCATCCGACTAATCTAGACATCGATTACCTCAGTTTTGCATGCCCGTCCGGGGACGAGAGCAAGCGATCGTACTGGTGGCATCGGGGAATGTCCACGTCGATTTGGCGGTCAGCCGAGTGCTTAGAAGTCTTGTTGTAGGTCTCATACACACTCCTGTAAGTGGAGTTGATGCCCATGAGCGCGGCCCATACTTCGGCACGGAGTATCTCAGGTATATCTACACACGCCTGCACAAAACGGGGAGATTTGACTAACTGCATATAGTCTGTATACGGGATAACTACATATGCCCGTGCATGAGATATGCGGTGGATAGGTAGGGAAGTCAAGATCGAGCTCGGACGTGATACGCCAGCACAGGGAGAACTAGAATGCGAGCACACGCGTCTATCTAGCAATTTTGGAATTAATATCAGAACACAGGAGACGGGTTGTACAGTCAAACATGCGATCGCTCCTTGCCCGATAAAGTCAGCTTATATACACTACTTTGTATCAGGTAGGTCCAAGCGATCGCAGAACATAGTACTAGTACTGCCGATTCTACATTGCTTTCTCGATGCGCATACATGCATCAACCAGAGTGTATTTTCGAGCTATAGAGAGTACTATCGTCCACATAATGCGTTCGCTTTCGTTGCTATGACCAATTATAAAAAAAACCTGAGAGGTACAAATACACACAGTTAAAAATAAGAGGGTAAGGGGGATGAGGGGTGGTGGCAATAAGGTCAGATAAAGCCTTCGGGTGTATAACCACATGCCAGCTGTAGCAACGGATTGTAGGTAGATCAAGTCGAGTGTGCACGCGAGACAAGCGCACATTGTCATTGGCACAGGAGATCAACTAAGTACCCAGTGCACTCAAAGTCCCGCGCTAAGTTGTGTGTGGAATACCCTCCCACTCCTTATTAGCGATAGTATACACCTCTCATTCGATTGACCAATCATCGTACGACACAACACTTGCGCTCCAAATAAACCACTGGAATCGACTCAGGTAGGGATAAATTTCAGAAACGAAAGCAGGAAATAAATGCATATGAAACCCTTGTATGGTTGATATAATTCACAGATCTATCCTTTCAATGCACAGCTGTACATGTGTACATGTTCATACACATATATATATAGATACATAGATACATATGCATA